GCCACTTGGTGCCACTTCAAATACTTGCCAACGCTCAGTGTGCCACTTGGTGCCACTTGGTGCCACTTCAAATACTTGCCAACACTCGGTGTGCCACTTGGTGCCACTTGGTGCCACTTCAAATACTTTCCAACACTCAGTGTGCCACCTGGTGCCACTTGGTACCACTTCAAATACTTGCCAACACTCAGTGTGCCACTTGGTGTCACTTGGCGCCACTTCAAATACTTGCCAACACTCAGTGTGCCACTTGGTGCCACTTGGTGCCACTTCAAATACTTTCCAACACTCAGTGTGCCACTTGGTGCCACTTGGTGCCACTTCAAATACTTGCCAACACTCAGTGTGCCACTTGGTGCCACTTGGTGCCACTTGGTGCCACTTCAAATACTTGCCAACACTCAGTGTGCCACTTGGTGCCACTTGGTGCCACTTCAAATACTTGCCAACACTCAGTGTGCCACTTGTGCCACTTGGTGCCACTTCAAATACTTGCCAACACTCAGTGTGCCACTTGGTGCCACTTGGTGCCACTTCAAATACTTTCCAACACTCAGTGTGCCACTTGGTGCCACTTGGTGCCACTTCAAATACTTGCCAACACTCAGTGTGCCACTTGGTGCCACTTGGTGCCACTTCAAATACTTGCCAACACTCAGCGTGCCACTTGGTGCCACTTGGTGCCACTTCAAATACTTTCCAACACTCAGTGTGCCACTTGGTGCCACTTGGTGCCACTTCAAATACTTGCCAACACTCAGTGTGCCACTTGGTGCCACTTGGTGCCACTTGGTGCCACTTCAAATACTTGCCAACACTCAGTGTGCCACTTGGTGCCACTTGGTGCCACTTCAAATACTTGCCAACACTCAGTGTGCCACTTGGTGCCACAACACTCAGTGTGCCACTTGGTGCCACTTGGTGCCACTTGAAGTGGCACCAAGTGGCACAATCAAATAGCGCACCTCGTGCGACCTCAATGAAATGGTCGACTGCACTGCAGTGGGTTTCTGCTTCATACATCCTGCCTGGCAACATGCAAAGACTGTACCCGGCCAGTCCAGCAAAACCAGTTGACCCCATCCGGGGATACCCATCCAAGTTCATCTCTGAAGTGCGCATCTTGGATTTCGAATTGTCAAGCTGGTCCACGCTGAAGATTGCAATCAGCACCAGCACCCATCTGCAGAAGCCGCCACGCATGGCATTTGGGATGCCCGCAGGCTCCGCTACCATCTCAAAAACAGCCGCGCCACTCAGCGCCCCTTTTATGCTGTCTCTTTCGAGCCACTGTGCGTCAGAAGAATATGCACTTCTCGATTTGTGCTGTGTCATCAGCAACTCAGCTATGCTAATCTTCTGTATCGTTCCATGTGCCAAGTGAACCTGAATCTACCTCATGACCTGTACATGAGTGCCATAAATCAAATGTGACACAAGATCTCACAGCGCAGTGAGAGACATAGTGGGAGACAAAGTGGAAGACAAAGTGGGAGACAAAGCCAGATCCATGTCGTGACAAGATCTCACAGAGCAGTGGGAGACACAGTGGGACACAAAGTGGGAGACAAAGCCAAATCCATGTCGTGATCAGATCTCACAGAGCAGTGGGCAACACAGTGGGAGACGCAGTGGGAGACAAAGCCGGATCCATGTCGTGACAAGATCTCACAGAGCAGTGGGAGACACACTGGAAGACACAGTGGGAAAAAAAGTGGGGGACAAAGCCAGATCCATGTCGTGACAAGATCTCACAGAGCAGTGGGAGACACAGTGGGAGACAAAGTGGGAGGCAAAGCGGGGAAGTTAGATGCATGTCGTCACAAGATCTCACAGAGCCATGGGAGACACAGTGGGAGACACAGTGAGAGCAGAGAGCAGTGGGAGACAAAGTGGGAGACAAAGCCAGATCCATGTCGTGATCAGATCTCACAGAGCAGTGGGAGACACAGTGGCAGACACAGTGGGAGAAAAAGTGGGAGACAAAGCCAGATCCATGTCGTGACAAGATCTCACAGAGCAGTGGGAGACAAAGTGGGAAACAAAGTGGGAGACAAAGTGGAAGAAAAAGCAGACCCATCTTGTGACAAAAGCTCACAGAGCAGTCGGAGACACAGTGAGAGCAGAGAGCAGTGGGAAACAGTGACAAAATCTCACAAAGCAGTGGGGGACACGGTGGAAGACACAGTGGGAGACACAGTGGGGGGCACAGTGGGAGACAAAGTGGGAGACAAAGCCAGAACCATGTCGTGACAAGATCTCACAAAGCAGTGGGAGACACAGTGGGAGACAAAGTGGGAGAAAAAGTGTCTTCGCATGTTTCATGTTTTGTTGCGGTATTGGAATGGTTTTCAAGGATGTTGCAGTCGATAGGAAACAGCTGTTTTCTCACAAAGCAGTGGGAGACACAGTGGGAGACAAAGTGGGAGAAAAAGTGTCTTCGCATGTTTCATGTTTTGTTGCGGTATTGGAATGGTTTTCAAGGATGTTGCAGTCGATAGGAAACAGCTGTTTTGCAGTCAGCTTGAACCGGTTGTGGATAGGTTGCATGAGTGTGAGGGTGACGGACTACTGGACTGTGGTTGCAATAGGAGACACTGGACTGATCCATGTATGGGATTTAGGAGTAAACCCCATTGGAAAGACTTGCATGATTTGCAGTTGTCGGTGGATTGCACCCTTGATGAGACATGGCATGAGACTCCAGTGAGCCTGGAGTACTGTGAAACTCCGTTGAGGGAGACAGGTTTGTTGTCTGAGGTGCCAGACAGTGATGCATGCATGTGTTGTCATGCTTTGGACTTTGCGTCCATATCGTGCTGCTGCTGTGTAGTGTGTGCGGTTGACTGCAGTAATGCAGGCATCCAGCCACATGACATGGTTTGCTGTTGCTGCTGCACCCATGATGAGATCAGTTGTGGAGCGTGTGCAGTGGATTGCAATGGTGCAGACCACTTGCCTCATGATGTGACTTCTGAGGTGCAGCACAAAGAACGTAGTAACCATCACTGTTTGGTAAGCGATCCGTTGTCGCCGCATTTGAACTCAACCCTTCAAGAAGAAACGGATTGGTGGTTGATAGATAGTGGGGCTTCGGTAAGTGTCATTTCCGAAAAGAATGTGAGAAACTACAAAGTCGTCTCGAGGGAACCGTATGTTTCATCTTCAGGGTTCTTTGCTGCGAATGGGAGCCCTGAAAGAATGTTCGAAAGGGTCAAACTTGAAGTGACTTTGCAAACTGTGAGAAACGGTGAAACGCGAAACACCAGGGTTTTGATCGCATGTTTGGTTGGGGACACCAAAAGTAACATCCTTTCTACGGGTTCCTTGCTTAAGAATGGATGGGCGATTCAAATGAGCTCGGAAGAGTTTTCCATGAAACATTCAAGTGGTCTCGAATGCCAACTTGTGGAATGGGGTGGTTGTCCTTGGATTTCTTGTAAAGGGGTTTCAGGGGTATCATCACCAAGAAGTAGTGGGGAACTTAATGTGGTCCGGTATGCGCTTTTCTGCGAAGCAGATAATGCATTATCTTGAACACACAAACTATTCGTGTCTTTATCTGCTGTGAATGCACAGCTTTGCACACACGATTCACAACGCGTCCTCTCCCTTCCTTTTCTATGCTACGCTGCCCTCGCTCTCCGCGTGCGCACACATGATATATTCATATTCAATGTACACTTCGACATTGCGTTGTTGTGATGAAACAATCTCCTAACCTGAAACTCTCGATTGCAGAAGTTTGCTTGTGATTGGTTTCTCACTCCAACTTTTTGCGGTGCGTTGTTTTTATTTTAGTTTACTCTGTTTAGGTTTCTTAGGTTTGCAGGTATGTACTCTTGCAACCTTATTTTGGAAACCAAACTCAAACCTGTCGTGGTGAATGCACCACTTTCTGGACACATCGATTATATTTTCTACCGCTGTTGGGCTTAGTGGTGGGTGGGAGGGTTCTTGACCCTACGCGCTGCGTAGATTTTGCATGGCCGGGGCTGCTGCACGCAGCAGAGCTTTGCTGGCCGCTCCAGTGTCATTTCAACCTCAGACACGTCATTTTCCACTTCGCTTGTGCATTGTTTCAGTGACATCTGGATTTTGTACTGCAGTCCTGATTTTCATTGCGTGGATTTTGATATTGTGATTTTCATTGCTTGTGCCCTTGGTTGATGCAACAGCAGCCAGTGAGATTTCGTCCAACTTTTGCTTACCGGCCATTGATTTCTTTGACACCTACCTCATCTTTTATTTTGGCAGGTGGTGGACAAGCTGTACTCATTCAACATAACATTCTGTCCTGTCTGTTTGATTCCACAGGTCCCAATCCAGACATTCGAGCTCTTGGCCATTGCGCACCAGCATTACAGCTGATTGCTGTCCTGGACCCAAGTTGACACGCCCAGTGTATCCTCTCGTACTGTCAACCCCAACTTTTGGGATTAATGTCAATGGGGGGTGATTTTGTGGAAGTTGGTGCAGATGAGCAGGTCATGTCGACTGGTTTTACAGAATTGGACACATTGACAGGTGCAGATAGATTGAATTTTTTGAGTGAACGTGCAGAAGCTGTTGATTCTTTGCAAGCTGCATCCACGACGGGTGACATCAGCGCGGACCCTATTGAACAGTTTTCTTCAGTATCAGATGCTCGTGATCCCATTGAACAGTTTTCATTTGATGCTGGAGTTACAAGACATTGCACTTTTTCTGGATCTGATCAGCTCTTAAAGGGCGACCATTGCATTGATACACATGACTGCAAGTCTGTGTTTGGTGACAGCGTGGACTCAGTTCGAAAAGAGTCGGGAGCTTTGGACGGTGTGCTGGAAGATGATGGTTTTATGTCAAACAGTGCAGATGTTGCAAGTGTTGCTGGATCTTCATTGGACATGCCAGCGTCTAGTGCTGGATTTGACCATTCGTCCATTCAGACAGCGTTTGTCCAGAGCTTGGAACCGCATGCGCCAAAATTCATGTGGGAACAAGACAGCTTCTTGAGCATGGTCTTTGGGAAGGATGATGTCGTTGACAGTTTATTTCCAAAGATTGACATGAAACGGCCACATGGAGCACTGATTGACCTGACAGGTGTGGACGAATACGATCCTCCAATTTGCAAAGCGCTCCGATGTGGTACCAGGAGGCCTTTGTATCTCAGAGTTTTCAAGCAGACCACAATTGTGCATGAAGAGACTCAGAGGACAAACTTCATCAATGGTTGGACGTCCATAGTTCTTTTGAATGTTGATGCATTTTCTGCCTTTGATAAAGCAAGACTGGAATGTGTGGACACAGAGCTGCGTCCTACAGTACACTTGACGGTTGCTGAGTGCTTAGCAAAGAAGGCAACAAGTACAGTTGGAAAGAGACTTGGTTCCATGCGAAGATTTGCCGAGTATTGCACTGCAAACGCTCTGAAACCGTTTCCACTGGAAGATTCAAGTATGCACAGCTACTTGTCAAGCTTGTTGGCAAACCCTGGGAGTGCTGGATCAACTGGTAAGGCTTTCATCGAAGCTGTCAGGTTCACAAGTGCAATGCTTGGACTGAAGAGTGATGAACTGCATACAATTTCAAGGCGAGTTGCAGGTCTTGCAGAACTCTTGATAAAGAGGGCACCGATGGTGGAGCAGGCTGATCCACTGTCAGTCGAGCAGGTCAAAGCCTTGGAAAGCGCTTGCTGCAGTTCAGATTCTTTGCAAGACCAAACCATTATTGGAGGCGTTTAGATCATGATCTTTGGGAGTGCCCGAGCTTCAGACATGGCTAGGGCTGTGAAGGTCCTCATCGACATGGATCCCAGGCAGGATGTGGACAGACCACCAACTGAACCTGAGGGGTACATAGAGCTGGGAGTGCTCAAGAACAAAGGTGCTCGCAGTGATGTCCACAGAAGGCTTCTTTTGCCCATTGTGTCGCCGCTCATCAGCCTTAGTGGCGCGAAGTGGTGGGAGAGCTGGCAAGAGGCGCGTCTGGCCTTGGGATTGGGCACAACTGGACTTCTTGACAAGCCCATCATGTGTCGGTTTGACGCTGAGGGCTGTGCTGTTGATCAAACAATGACAGCATCCGAGATCAGGGAGTTCATCAGGCAAACTCTGGGCTTGGAGACGAAGCAGAGGAACAAGGTGCGCAGTCACAGCTGCAAGGCAACGATCCTTTCGTGGCTTGCCAAGTTCGGCACAGAGCTCCCCCTTCGCAGACTCATCGGGCACCACCTCGACCCGGCAGCGAGGAGCGCCGAAATCTATGCGCGCGACTCGATGGCGCCTGCAGTGAGAGTGGTGGCGGAGATGTTAAATGCAGTCAAGTCAGGCTCCTTCACCTGACGTTACAAGATCGGGTAGATTCCGTGTGCCTGCAGCTGATGTCAATGAGAACGAAGACACGAACGCATCAGAGGCTTCGTATATTCCCTTTTTCTGGATCAGAGTTGGCTACTGACTCTTCGTCAGATGCTTCCTCCGAGAAAGATTACGAGATCAGTGACTCAACGACCCTCTGGGAGCTTTTGAAGCCCGAGTTCAGGCCCGACCTGGTCAAAGTGAGCTCAGCCTTGGAGAAGTATGTGCACAAATTTTCGTGTGTGGTGCACCTTCGGAAGCCAGAGGCAAAACGTTTTCTTTGCGGACACATTCTGAACAGCAGATATGAACCCCGGGAACAAGGGCCTTCTGCCGAGTGTCCCAGATGCACAACTTGCTTCAGCAGCAAAGATGCGTGAGAGACATCTTTCTTGTCCGACACTGAATGCAGTGCGACGAGACATGAACATATGAGGCCAGAACGTAAAAAGTTTGAATGGCCGACCCTCAGATTGTCAGCGTGTCCCACTCAGATCAGACTTCAGCATGTCAGATTGATTGCATGATGTTTTGCTGACAGTTGCATGTTTGAGACTGACGGCATTCATGTACATGTCACATCAGATTCTGCAGTGAAATCTCGTTGAATTGAGATCACATCATAAATGAACACCCACGCTTGCTTGAACTCAAGCCTGTCCATTTTGGACGTTAATGAACAGTCCTGAATGCAGGGCCTCACCTTTGGACACTGAATGGACAACTTTGAATGCAAAGTTTGAACACCATAGCAACTTGAAACATGAAATTCGTATCAATCCTAATGCTGATTTCAGACGTAGAAAACGTTGATCATCAAGTGCACTTTTTCTTTCTCTTTTTAGTCACGCCCGTGTTGTGCGATGTCTGCATACGCAGAGTCAGCTACAAGTTTCAAGCACAGGTGCAAAGAGATTGGGCTGAATTCCGTAGAGATAGCAGCGTTGGAGACACAGAATCTCAAGACCTTCAACAACTTGGCATTTGCAGTGTGCGGCCAACCTGGTCAACTGGACAATGCAAGGTTTACACAAGTCATGGATGGGGCTTTCCACACGCCCACGATTGGCCTAGAGTCTATGATGAGGCAGTTGAGCTATGAAGCCATTACGGTGGCAGTAGCTGCAATCCGTCAGCGAGTTGAGCCGCAGCAAGAAGGACAGCTCAAAAGGCTGCCGCCTCAAGAGCGAGATGAACGCATTAGAAAGCAACAGGCTTCCATCACAGGCTTCGTGATTCAAGGCGACTACGAACCTGCACATTCAGTGGTGGACTTTTTCACAACCATGCTTGCTCCCAAATACCTGCCGCTGTCTAAGTGCATCAGCCGTGAACAGGAGCTTCAGACAATGAAGGTGGACAAGCGCATTGACGTCATCGAGGACCAGCAGTTACAGGTCAAGAACAAAGCTCCGGAAGCTCATGCAGATTTGACAACAGACTTGAAAGTTCAAAACGCGTTTGTCAGACGCGGACTTGCCGGTGAACAAGCTGGAATTTTCACATACAGCACTCATGAGAAAGTTCGACACGCTTTCATGGCTCACATGACACGTGCTGCCCCACCTGGTTTTAGGGCACCTGACATTGGAGCGGTGCTACGAGCTGATCGAGAACTCTGGATGAAAGCGTTTGAGCTTTGCAAATCCAGTATCCGAGTGGACGCAACTGGTGTTTATCCTTTGGATGCGGCCTTGCTGAAGTTGCACACCAGTCCTGAAGTCGTTTTCCACTTGCTGCCGACTCTAGGGAATACACCCGCAAAGCGAACCAGGTCTCCAGAGAAGGGCACCGATAGCCCCAATGACACGAAAGCTGCGCCCAAGAAGACTCAGAAAGCGAGTCCCAAGCAGAAGAACAAGAGAGGTGGGAACAACAACAATCGTGTGAAGGTTCCAGAGGCATTGACAGGTTTCAGTGGCATGAATCGTGACAATTTGCGTGTGTGCTACAACTACAATCTGCCACATGGATGTTCCAACAGCACGCACGAAAAGGATGGCCACACCAGATGTGTGAAGGGGTGTCATGAATGCATCAAATGTGGTGGACGACACTCCATGCAATCCTGTCAGAAGAAGTGACAAACACCCGCCGCAGCCTCGGTTCCCGTCTCCGAAGCAGTGGTGGTCGAGATCTTCTGCGGCAAAGCCCGGCTCTCCAAGAAACTTAGGGCCAAATTTTTCCAAGTCGTTTCAGTGGATCATGTGGCTGCAAAAGGCGTGCCAATTTTGAGGATCGACATTGAAAAGGCCAGTCAAGGTGCAGTTTTGGAGGAGTTGTTACGTTTGGACAAAGTTTTGTATGTGCATTTTGCACCTCCGTGCGGGACTGCCAGCGCTGCGAGAAATATCCAGCCAGGTCCTCCACCTTTACGATCCTACAATTTTCCAATGGGCTTGCCACAATTGTCATTTGTGCAGAGGACATGTGTGAGCAAGGCGAATTTCCTTTATGCATGGACTTGCAAGATCATTTTGATCCTTGCCGAGAGAAATATCGGATGGAGCGTGGAGAACCCAGCCAGCTCATTGATGTGGATCACAGATCCCTTTGTGCATCTGCTCAAGATGTTGCCAGATTTGAACGCGTTTTCCTTTCACACATGTATGTTTGCAGCCCAGCGCAAGAAGGATACTGCAATTTGGACGTGTGTTCCGCAATTACGTCTGCACTTGGAACGGAAGTGCGATGGGATGCATGAGCACCTCAAATGGGGCAAAACAGCGAACGGCTTTGCTACGGCAGAGGAGTGTGCTTACAATGATACACTTTGTGCAGCATGGGCCGAAGCAATTTCTGACTTCGCACTTTTGAAAGGCTATGTCAAGCCCCCAGAGACAGTGCATGAGATCAAAGCGGCCACAACCCATGCAGCCTACGTCAACAAGGCCATTCTGGGGTGTTTGCCGCGTGGCCGTAAACTGTTGCCCTTCATTTCAGAATTTTTGCAGCCGGCCACTTTTGACATTTCCTCCATGCCCTTGGTCCAGACCACAGTCATTGGCAAAAGAATTGCCGATGAAGTTACAGCTTTTCCCAAGGGCTCCAAGTTGCTGCGTTTTGACAATGTGGACAGGGGGGATGGAGATGGCAAAGACCTGGGCTTACCAACTCGTGCCGCTTGTACTGAGACGAAGTCTCATAAAGTTTTACAGCTTTGTGGCCAGCTACGTCTAAGGTAGCGCTAAGAAGTTTTTACCTCCTCTCCGCGTAAGCTGCGTCTCTTTCTTCCCGACTGTGCTATGTGAAGCGTTGGAATTGCATCACTTTGCGTGTCCTTCGCGGTGACTCGCTCTAAGTTTATGTGGTTTGTTCGCGCAAGCTTCAAACCTTGTTTGCAGTGGTGCAGTTTCCATTTGACTTCTTTGCGCTATTCTTAAGCATTTTTCAAATTTGAAACTTTCACAGTTTCAACCTTGCAGTGATGTTCTGTCGTGTTTTCAGACATGTTCTAAATCGAGAAGTGTTACAGTCTTGCATGTCAGTTTCATTGCTGTGATGTCTTCTTCAGTCACGTGCAAAATCGAGAAGTGTAACAGTCTTGCTTACCTGAGCCGATCTGAAGTCATGCACAAATAAGAAGTGTAACAAGTTGATGAACACACAAATCGAGAAGTGTTCAAGTGTGATCTCATGGTCTCAACGCATTATATTTTATACTCTGTGTTTACCATCTCAAGCGGAGGGTGGGTGGGTGCCAAGAAATTCTTGGCCTTTTCAAATTTCCCACACAAGGGGGGAAACGGGTAGATGTGCTCAGCTTGGCCTTAGATGCAATGGATGTGCCGCCTGATCCTTTCATACAGAAAATTTTGTACTGGACGTTAAACGTGTGATAGGACTGGACGGTCATGTTGAGTACTGCAAGCGTTTCAGAAGTTCTGCATACAAACAACCTTGGGAAAGGGGTATTTTGGCACACGAACCGCTGCCGTGCATTTTGCCTTGGATTCCAAAGGGTCCATTTCCTCTACATGGTCAGTTGCAGAACGTTGAACCAGATGTCGATGATTTGTCGGGACCTAAACTTTTGGTGCCGTGCTACATGAATGCAGGACTGAAACTGGACAGGGTTTCAAAAGGACAAACATGGCATGAGAAGTTAGACGCTAGTCGTGCTCTTGGTCTGAAAAAGTGGCTGACGATTCTTACAGCTGGTGGAGTTGCTTTTGACATGGTGCAACAACATTTTGCAGTGCAGTCGGCTTCTCAGATCCTTTTGATTGATGCACTGGAGCTAGCTTTGACTTCAAAGAGTACTTCGACTCTTCATGCACGTGCCAATCCAGTTATTAGGCTTATGAAGTGGTGCAAAGATCATGCGTTACAACCTTTTCCATTGGATCATGTCCTGGTTTTCAAATATCTGGAATCGATCAGAGATGTTTGCGCTCCAACCTATCCGAAAAGTGTGCTGGGCTCCATTGCCTTCATGACATATTGCCTGGGTCTCAAGAGTGGCCATGCAGTTTTGGGCTCACAAATGGTGACTGGATTGTCTGCATCACTGTTTTTGAAAAAGAGAAAGACTGTGCAAAGGCCACCCTTGAAGGTATGGCATGTGAAACGTTTGGAGTCTATAGCATGTGGACGTGAGAGCATCACTATTATCGATCAGGTAGCAGCAGGATTTTTCTGCTTCCTTGTGTATGGACGTGCGAGATTTTCAGATGGACAAAACGCTCGAAACTTTGTACTTGATGTCATTGACGGGTCAAAACCTCCTCAGGGATTTTTGGAGGCTAGCATTCAGCGCAGCAAGACCAGTTACACGCTTGAAAGAAAAACTAGGCATTTGCCGATGGTAGCTCAAGTGACAGGCTTGAGTGACGTTAGCTGGGCTATAGCCTGGACAAGAGCGATGAAAAAGTCTGGTTTCCAGACTGGCGCTGGGTTGCCTCTTCTCCCGGCTCCCTTGATGGCAGGCGAGTGGGATGCAGTTCCAATTTCTGCAGAAGCTGCCACTAAATGGATTCGGAAACTCCTTCTTGATGCCCCTGGACTTGATGATGCTGAGCGTGAATACATTTTGCAATTGGGAATGCATAGTTGCAAAACTACGATCTTGAGCTGGGCGGCAAAGAAAGGCACAGATCTTCAAACAAGGAAGATTATGGGATATCACTCCTTGGGGAAACAGAATGCTGTTTTCATTTATGGGCGTGACAACATTGCACCAGCGTTGAGAGAGATTTCCGAAATCGTGACACTCATATCAACAGGGAAATTCCTCCCTGACAAGACTCGCAGTGGGTACTTTGCCACAGAAGGTGAGGACAAAGATGGTGGTGTGAGCAACTTGGATCCTACACCCGATGAACTGAGAGGAGACAGCAGCTCTGAGGACAGTGCAGACGAAGATCATGCAGAACACTCAGATGCAGAACAGGCTGTTGATGCAGTTGTTGGAAAATGGACAGGTGACTTTGATCCAGATATTCTGCCAACGGATCCTGAACAATACCTTCGACATGGCGTGTCGAGGGTTCTCCATCTTATTTCAGATGAGTCAGGAACCTCACTCACATGTGGCAGGCCAACTACAAAGTCTTATGAACGTCTTAGGGAATTGCCAACTGTCTTGCATCCAGTTTGCAAACAGTGTTTCGCTCTGTTTGCCCGTGATTTCTTTTAACAAGAGCCTGTCCCATCCTCAGATGAAAAGAGTGCCGCATTCAAGTGAATTCTTCAAAGAATGATGTGAAATTTGGGACAAACGGACACATTGGATGTGCAGATGTAGTTCCAGCCTGAAGCATTCCTGTGTTTTTCTTTTCAGGAACCCGAAACGATCAGGTCAGATCCTCTTGAATTAGTGCTGTCCTTAAAAATGTTTTCACAATTTTTATTCAAGCCATGAACTTGCAGCGATGCATCCAAGTGCAGTTCTATGCATACACAGCCCTGCAGGTTCGAATTTTTAGGAGTGTGTAAGTCAAATGTCTTACACCAAAGACCCAGCGGTTTTCGCTCAACGTGCCCTCAGTGCTGGCCTCGAAGAGAATGTGGTCAAGCTGCTTAATGATGCTGGCATTAACACAATTGCTAAGACAGCTTTCTGCTCAGCTTATTTGCCAGGGAATGCAGATGAGGCACCGATGAAGACGGCATTCAAAGAAGCTATCCAGAGAGATCCAACACCTGCTGAGATGGCCTCATTCCGCTATCTCTACAATGAGTGTTATGCAATTGTTTCCCAGGAAATGAAGATTCTTGTTGAAAAGAGTGCAGATGCCACTGATGTCAGGCGACTCACGAATGTGGAACGGGCTGATAGGTATGAAAAGCAGGTGAAACGGTTGGCAGGCCTGAACATCAAAGGCTTCCTTGAACCGTCGGATTCTTTGATTGACATTGCTTGGACTCAGTATGACAACAATAGACTTGCATACATTCCTTGGGAAAAGTGCACTTCGCGTAATGATGAACAAGAAAAGGATTTAAAGAAGGATCCAATGTTGTCTTTCGATGTTGCCTCGGGCAAACTCAAGTTGGAGAAGAAGAAAGATGATATCATGGCTGAAGTCAACCCTGATTTGAAAATCCAACATGCCTTGCAACGCAGAGCTCTTGCGTATGATCAAGCAAATGTGATCGGCTATCATGAATTGATGAGGTGGCATGATAAGCTTATGAAAGCCAGATTGACCGATCCTCCACCTGGCTATGCAAGGATCACTTTTGGGCAGATGGAACGTGCTGACCGCAAATTCTTTTCTGAGTTGCGCGACCAGACAAGGTCTGGGATCCAAGTCAATTCACAGGGTAGACCTGTTGAGCTGGTCTTGAAGGAGTGCAAAGTTCTACATTGTTTGCAACCTTTGCCACAATCGTCAGCTTCCAGTTCAGGTCCTCAGCACAGAGACCAGCCATCTGCCAGGAGTCAACCGTATAAAACGGGAAAAGGTAAGGTTGCGTTTAGCTTGCTAATAGCGGTTTATAGCTATGGGTAAAAGCGAACCATGTGAGCGCCCTCCTTTGCGTAAACTAAGATCTCTGGGTTTGATCTTGGTATATGTGGGTACGCGTATGCGCGGTGCAAAAAAAAAGAAACAAACAAACAGAAAGATTCATGTGTTCTTTCTGCACTGAGTGAATGCATGTTTGTTTCAAAAGTTTTCACATTTCAATTTTTCAACTGTTTCAAATGCCACATGTATCCGTCGTGCAAAATCAATCTATGGAACCTCGCCGCCTCAAAGTGTTTTGTGGTGGGTGGGCGGGTGTGCCCAATAATTTTCGTGTTTGCCCCGTGCATGGCCTCAAAAGAGCGTGGAGCTGCTGCATATCATCAGAACATCATCTTGGGACTTCCTCGGAAAACATTCTGGATCTCCAAGTTCTGTTTCACGTGGTGCAGTGGTTTTCTTACTGGCATCAGCTTGATTCTTTGGCTTCTGCTCGGTACATGCATTGCTCTTTGACTCGTTTTTGTGCTGCAAATCCTCAACTTTCTTGTCCGTTTGCACAACCCATTTGCAGCAGAGTTCAAACAGGAATTTTTCTGTTTTTGGACGTTTTTGAAGGCCATCGAGTATCACTGACTTGTCTCATTTTCTTTGTCGACAGACAAGACCTGTTCCTGCTAGTGACAGAACAACGGCTGGGCATTGTGCTTTCATCTTTCTCTGTGGCTACGCCTCCCTTGGCAGCGTGGCCCGCAGCTGGCAGGACCATCAGTGATTTCTCCTCAGATTCTTCTTCTGAAGCAGACTTGGGGCAATGAATTTTCAATTGGGCACTTCATATGACATGCATTTGCAAAACATTACACCTGCAAATTTTCAGACTCAACGTAAGATGCCTTGGGATTTGACTATGAATACACCCTGGGAAGTGAGCAAAAAGATGCGGGGTGAGAAACTCTTCAACTTCGGGGTGCTACCACCTGTTCCAGGGAGCTGCAAGACGTTGGACAACTCTGGACTTGCAGATTTTTGTGAAGTTGCAAGTGACTCCTTCAAAGCGGCTGGCATTGCACTCAGATCCTCAAACGACACACGCTTGTGGCAAGAGCGATTGTCTTGGGAGAGGAAGGCTGCATATAAGAAGTGGACGACCCTTATTTCAAAGCAGTTTAATGCATGGGAGATTTGCAGACACAAGATGTTGCCAGATTTGAACGCGTTTTCCTTTCACACATGTATGTTTGCAGCCCAGCGCAAGAAGGATACTGCAATTTGGACGTGTGTTCCGCAATTACGTCTGCACTTGGAACGGAAGTGCGATGGGATGCATGAGCACCTCAAATGGGGCAAAACAGCGAATGGCTTTGCTACGGCAGAGGAGTGTGCTTACAATGATACACTTTGTGCAGCATGGGCCGAAGCAATTTCTGACTTCGCACTTTTGAAAGGCTATGTCAAGCCCCCAGAGACAGTGCATGAGATCAAAGCGGCCACAACCCATGCAGCCTACGTCAACAAGGCCATTCTGGGGTGTTTGCCGCGTGGCCGTAAACTGTTGCCCTTCATTTCAGAATTTTTGCAGCCGGCCACTTTTGACATTTCCTCCATGCCCTTGGTCCAGACCACAGTCATTGGCAAAAGAATTGCCGATGAAGTTACAGCTTTTCCCAAGGGCTCCAAGTTGCTGCGTTTTGACAATGTGGACAGGGGGGATGGAGATGGCAAAGACCTGGGCTTACCAACTCGTGCCGCTTGTACTGAGACGAAGTCTCATAAAGTTTTACAGCTTTGTGGCCAGCTACGTCTAAGGTAGCGCTAAAGTTTTTACCTCCTCTCCGCGTAAGCTGCGTCTCTTTCTTCCCGACTGTGCTATGTGAAGCGTTGGAATTGCATCACTTTGCGTGTCCTTCGCGGTGACTCGCTCTAAGTTTATGCGGTTTGTTCGCGCAAGCTTCAAACCTTGTTTGCAGTGGTGCAGTTTCCATTTGACTTCTTTGCGCTATTCTTAAGCATTTTTCAAATTTGAAACTTTCACAGTTTCAACCTTGCAGTGATGTTCTGTCGTGTTTTCAGACATGTTCTAAATCGAGAAGTGTTACAGTCTTGCATGTCAGTTTCATTGCTGTGATGTCTTCTTCAGTCACGTGCAAAATCGAGAAGTGTAACAGTCTTGCTTACCTGAGCCGATCTGAAGTCATGCACAAATAAGAAGTGTAACAAGTTGATGAACACACAAATCGAGAAGTGTTCAAGTGTGATCTCATGGTCTCAACGCATTATATTTTATACTCTGTGTTTACCATCTCAAGCGGAGGGTGGGTGGGTGCCAAGAAATTCTTGGCCTTTTCAAATTTCCCACACAAGGGGGGAAACGGGTAGATGTGCTCAGCTTGGCCTTAGATGCAATGGATGTGCCGCCTGATCCTTTCATACAGAAAATTTTGTACTGGACGTTAAACGTGTGATAGGACTGGACGGTCATGTTGAGTACTGCAAGCGTTTCAGAAGTTCTGCATACAAACAACCTTGGGAAAGGGGTATTTTGGCACACGAACCGCTGCCGTGCATTTTGCCTTGGATTCCAAAGGGTCCATTTCCTCTACATGGTCAGTTGCAGAACGTTGAACCAGATGTCGATGATTTGTCGGGACCTAAACTTTTGGTGCCGTGCTACATGAATGCAGGACTGAAACTGGACAGGGTTTCAAAAGGACAAACATGGCATGAGAAGTTAGACGCTAGTCGTGCTCTTGGTCTGAAAAAGTGGCTGACGATTCTTACAGCTGGTGGAGTTGCTTTTGACATGGTGCAACAACATTTTGCAGTGCAGTCGGCTTCTCAGATCCTTTTGATTGATGCACTGGAGCTAGCTTTGACTTCAAAGAGTACTCCGACTCTTCATGCACGTGCCAATCCAGTTATTAGGCTTATGAAGTGGTGCAAAGATCATGCGTTACAACCTTTTCCATTGGATCATGTCCTGGTTTTCAAATATCTGGAATCGATCAGAGATGTTTGCGCTCCAACCTATCCGAAAAGTGTGCTGGGCTCCATTGCCTTCATGACATATTGCCTGGGTCTCAAGAGTGGCCATGCAGTTTTGGGCTCACAAATGGTGACTGGATTGTCTGCATCACTGTTTTTGAAAAAGAGAAAGACTGTGCAAAGGCCACCCTTGAAGGTATGGCATGTGAAACGTTTGGAGTCTATAGCATGTGGACGTGAGAGCATCACTATTATCGATCAGGTAGCAGCAGGATTTTTCTGCTTCCTTGTGTATGGACGTGCGAGATTTTCAGATGGACAAAACGCTCGAAACTTTGTACTTGATGTCATTGACGGGTCAAAACCTCCTCAGGGATTTTTGGAGGCTAGCATTCAGCGCAGCAAGACCAGTTACACGCTTGAAAGAAAAACTAGGCATTTGCCGATGGTAGCTCAAGTGACAGGCTTGAGTGACGTTAGCTGGGCTATAGCCTGGACAAGAGCGATGAAAAAGTCTGGTTTCCAGACTGGCGCTGGGTTGCCTCTTCTCCCGGCTCCCTTGATGGCAGGCGAGTGGGATGCAGTTCCAATTTCTGCAGAAGCTGCCACTAAATGGATTCGGAAACTCCTTCTTGATGCCCCTGGACTTGATGATGCTGAGCGTGAATACATTTTGCAATTGGGAACGCATAGTTGCAAAACTACGATCTTGAGCTGGGCGGCAAAGAAAGGCACAGATCTTCAAACAAGGAAGATTATGGGATATCACTCCTTGGGGAAACAGAATGCTGTTTTCATTTATGGGCGTGACAACATTGCACCAGCGTTGAGAGAGATTTCCGAAATCGTGACACTCATATCAACAGGGAAATTCCTCCCTGACAAGACTCGCAGTGGGTACTTTGCCACAGAAGGTGAGGACAAAGATGGTGGTGTGAACAACTTGGATCCTACACCCGATGAACTGAGAGGAGACAGCAGCTCTGAGGACAGTGCAGACGGAGATCATGCAGAACACTCAGATGCAGAACAGGCTGTTGATGCAGTTGTTGGAAAATGGACAGGTGACTTTGATCCAGATATTCTGCCAACGGATCCTGAACAATACCTTCGACATGGCGTGTCGAGGGTTCTCCATCTTATTTCAGATGAGTCAGGAACCTCACTCACATGTGGCAGGCCAACTACAAAGTCTTATGAACGTCTTAGGGAATTGCCAACTGTCTTGCATCCAGTTTGCAAACAGTGTTTCGCTCTGTTCGCCCGTGATTTTTTTTAACAAGAGCCTGTCCCATCCTCAGATGAAAAGAGTGCCGCATTCAAGTGAATTCTTCAAAGAATGATGTGAAATTTGGGACAAACGGACACATTGGATGTGCAGATGTAGTTCCAGCCTGAAGCATTCCTGTGTTTTTCTTTTCAGGAACCCGAAACGATCAGGTCAGATCCTCTTGAATTAGTGCTGTCCTGAAAAATGTTTTCACAATTTTTATTCAAGCCATGAACTTGCAGCGATGCATCCAAGTGCAGTTCTATGCATACACAGCCCTGCAGGTTCGAATTTTTAGGAGTGTGTAAGTCAAATGTCTTACACCAAAGACCCAGCGGTTTTCGCTCAACGTGCCCTCAGCGCTGGCCTCGAAGAGAATGTGGTCAAGCTGCTTAATGATGCTGGCATTAACACAATTGCTAAGACAGCTTTCTGCTCAGCTTATTTGCCAGGGAATGCAGATGAGGCACCGATGAAGACGGCATTCAAAGAAGCTATCCAGAGAGATCCAACACCTGCTGAGATGGCCTCATTCCGCTATCTCTACAATGAGTGTTATGCAATTGTTTCCCAGGAAATGAAGATTCTTGTTGAAAAGAGTGCAGATGCCACTGATGTCAGGCGACTCACGAATGTGGAACGGGCTGATAGGTATGAAAAGCAGGTGAAACGGTTGGCAGGCCTGAACATCAAAGGCTTCCTTGAACCGTCGGATTCTTTGATTGACATTGCTTGGACTCAGTATGACAACAATAGACTTGCATACATTCCTTGGGAAAAGTGCACTTCGCGTAATGATGAACAAGAAAAGGATTTAAAGAAGGATCCAATGTTGTCTTTCGATGTTGCCTCGGGCAAACTCAAGTTGGAGAAGAAGAAAGATGATATCATGGCTGAAGTCAACCCTGATTTGAAAATCCAACATGCCTTGCAACGCAGAGCTCTTGCGTATGATCGAGCAAATGTGATCGGCTATCATGAATTGATGAGGTGGCATGATAAGCTTATGAAAGCCAGATTGACCGATCCTCCACCTGGCTATGCAAGGATCACTTTTGGGCAGATGGAACGTGCTGACCGCAAATTCTTTTCTGAGTTGTGCGGCCAGACAAGGTCTGGGATCCAAGTCAATTCACAGGGTAGACCTGTTGAGCTGGTCTTGAAGGAGTGCATGTTTGATGCTGAAGTTCTACATTGTTTGCAACCTTTGCCACAATCGTCAGCTTCCAGTTCAGGTCCTCAGCACAGAGACCAGCCATCTGCCAGGAGTCAACCGTATAAAACGGGAAAAGGTAAGGTTGCGTTTAGCTTGCTAATAGCGGTTTATAGCTATGGGTAAAAGCGAACCATGTGAGCGCCCTCCTTTGCGTAAACTAAGATCTCTGGGTTTGATCTTGGTATATGTGGGTACGCGTATGCGCGGTGCAAAAAAAAAGAAACAAACAAACAGAAAGATTCATGTGTTCTTTCTGCACTGAGTGAATGCATGTTTGTTTCAAAAGTTTTCACATTTCAATTTTTCAACTGTTTCAAATGCCACATGTATCCGTCGTGCAAAATCAATCTATGGAACCTCGCCGCCTCAAAGTGTTTTGTGGTGGGTGGGCGGGTGTGCCCAATAATTTTCGTGTTTGCCCCGTGCATGGCCTCAAAAGAGCGTGGAGCTGCTGCATATCATCAGAACATCATCTTGGGACTTCCTCGGAAAACATTCTGGATCTCCAAGTTCTGTTTCACGTGGTGCAGTGGTTTTCTTACTGGCATCAGCTTGATTCTTTGGCTTCTGCTCGGTACATGCATTGCTCTTTGACTCGTTTTTGTGCTGCAAATCCTCAACTTTCTTGTCCGTTTGCACAACCCATTTGCAGCAGAGTTCAAACAGGAATTTTTCTGTTTTTGGACGTTTTTGAAGGCCATCGAGTATCACTGACTTGTCTCATTTTCTTTGTCGACAGACAAGACCTGTTCCTGCTAGTGACAGAACAACGGCTGGGCATTGTGCTTTCATCTTTCTCTGTGGCTACGCCGTGGCCCCCAGCTGGCAGGACCATCAGTGATTTCTCCTCAGATTCTTCTTCTGAAGCAGACTTGGGGCAATGAATTTTCAATTGGGCACTTCATATGACATGCATTTGCAAAACATTACACCTGCAAATTTTCAGACTCAACGTAAGATGCCTTGGGATTTGACTATGAATACACCCGGGGAAGTGAGCAAAAAGATGCGGGGTGAGAAACTCTTCAACTTCGGGGTGCTACCACCTGTTCGAGGGAGCTGCAAGACGTTGGACAACTCTGGACTTGCAGATTTTTGTGAAGTTGCAAGTGACTCCTTCAAAGCGGCTGGCATTGCACTCAGATCCTCAAACGACACACGCTTGTGGCAAGAGCGATTGTCTTGGGAGAGGAAGGCTGCATATAAGAAGTGGACGACCCTTATTTCAAAGCAGTTTAATGCATGGGAGATTTGCAGACAGCTGTGGGCTGGGAACAGTTTGAAAATGGCTCAAGGAGGTCTGTTGGAGAGCGTGATGGACGCTTTAGGCAACAAGGCCACCTCCACGGTTCATGCAAGAGTGTCTCCATTAATCCAGCTTGCACACCACTGCGAACAGAAGGGTTTTTGCTGCTTCCTTCTCACCGAAAGTTTGGTGTATGATTACATGAAAGACAGTCCTGACAGAGCACCATCTTTTCACAGGTCGCTGCTTTTATCCATAAGCTTTGCAAGCTTCCATTTTGGACTGGATGGAGCTTCTGGGGTTCTGGCTTCAGCTAGGGTACGTGGATGCGCTCAGAAGCACTACGCTGAAAAGCGCAAACTGGTGCAGAGACCACCCTTGACTGTAGAACAAGTCAAAGCCTTAGAACGGATAGTCTTGGACCCTAGCCGAACTGATGTGGATCGACTTGGAGCTGGGTTTTTCCTCACACTGGTGTATGGCAGATTGCGATACAGTGACGCACAGCAGGTCTCTGGACTGACTCTGGACATGCCGAATGCCAGACAAGGCTTTCTTGAAGGACAAGCAGGGCGCACAAAGACCAGCGTCAGTTTGGAAAGGAAATGCAGGTTCCTGCCGATTGCCATCCCGACTTTGAGCTTGCTTGATGAGCCATGGATCCCTACCTGGATGGAGCTTCGAGCAAAGCACTTTGGAGACATCCGGGAAGGCCCTGCTGTTGGCGGAGGATGGACAAAGATGCCGGTGCGTGTTGGAGCAGGTAGCCAGTGGCTGAGGGCTCTTTTGAATGGAGTGCCACATCACTCTACAACGCCTTTGGGGACTCACAGCTGCAAGGCTACACTGCTCAGTTGGGCCGCGAAATGGGCGATGGCTCATGGACCACGGAGGATCTTGGGCTACCACTCAGAGGGACGTGACAAGAGCCTCCTGACGTACAGCCGCGATGGAATGGCCGGACCTCTACGGCTTCTCTGCCAAATGCTCGACGATGTGAAGAATGGGAAGTTTTTGCCTGATTCGACAAGGAGCGGGCGCTTCCCGCTTGAAGATGCCGACGAGCCAGTTCAGAGAGACGATGCGAAGTCTGACGCCTCGTCCAGTTCCTCAGATGGATCTGACAACGAGTCAGAGATGGATTTTGAGAACGAGGAGAAGGCCATTCAAGGCGTCATTGGGAAATGGGATCCCGGGACCTCTGAATTGGAAGGTGAAAATGTCCAATTTGCGAGACACAAAGTCTCACGATGCATTCATGTCATGCATGACGAGACTGGGATCTCCTTCAAATGTGGTCGCAGGATGGCGACGACTTATTTGGTGCTTGATGAAAAGCCGACTTTTATGCATCCTCTGTGTAACACTTGCTTCCGACCGGAAGGACAGTGATATGAAGCCGCATGCAGTGTGAAAACATGTGGAGATGAATGCATGGCAGATTGGATCGGAATGAACCCAATGCAGGGTGCTGTGAATCCGATGTCAGTCATGTGTCATGTGCACAAGTGTATCCACATGTTTGCACGTCGGTTCAAGCAGTGGTGTTTACATGGATGTTAGGACATGACACTTTTCAGATTTTTGTTTCAGCATGTTGAATTTCAAATGAATCTGAAGATCCAATCAGATGTGAAACTCGTGTCAATCTGCGTTTTTCTTTCAACCTTCTGTTCCGATCTCGGCAACGGCCCTGAACTTAGCAATGAGCTTCGGTGACAGTGAAGCTGTCTTCACTCAGAGGGCAATAGAAATTGGCCTAAGTGAAGAGGCCGTGAAGGCCCTGACAGACGAAGGAATCAAAACCATGGCGTTATTCGCGTTCAGTTGTAACTTCTCGCCAGGTTCACCTGACGAAAAGCCCCTGACAGACCTGATCAGGAAACTCATGCGACGCGATCCCCGCACTTTGGAATTGTCATGCATGAGGCGCCTTTTTGGAGAGAGCTACGCCAATGTCGCCTCTGACATCAAGGCGCGAACTGAGGCAACGGACGACACACCTGCCAGACGCTTAGCACCAGCAGAGAGGGCCAGCCGATTGAAAGATCAGCAACAACGTTTGGCTGGACTCAACATCACAGGCCAGTACGAGCCTGGAGACACTTTGGTGGACAAGTGCATCAGCATATATGACAGCGATAGGCTTCAATATGTAGAATGGTCAGTTTGTGTGTCTCGAGAACATGAGCTTTTGACAGGGACGAAGAAGGATGCTTCACTCAGTTTTGATGCCTCTGGTTTGCTGAAGCTGTCCAAGCAGCAGAAGGCCGACCCCTGTGTTACGAGCAATGAGATCCAGGTGCGGTATTGCCTGGTCAGGCGCGCTCTTGCATTTGACCAAGCAAACTTGATTGCATTCAAACACATGGAAGCGTGGAGTGAGAAACTCATGCAGTGCCGTTTGGAAGAACCTCCAATTGGTTTCACAAGGACAACGATGAAACAGTTAGAGCTGGCTGACAGAAAGCTGTTCTGTGTGTTGGCAGAGCGGACTAGAGAGGGCATCAAGAGCAACACCAAAGGCAGACCACTGGATTTGGTTTTCAAAGAGAGTTGTGAGTCTTCAGAAGTTTTGGCATTGCTTCAACCACGCCCTACGGGAGCATCAGCTGAGAAGACCAAGGAACCCAGAAGTGCTTCTGACGACCCTCCAGCCAAGAAACCAAGGCGTGAGATTGTCAAGAAGGGCAAGGGGAAGGGCAACAATGGTGCCTTCGTCCGGATCCCGCATGACCTTCTGAAACTGAATTGTGTTGCAGCCACTCCGAAAAACAACAGGATTTGTTTTTCTTACAATTTGAAGAAGTGCGATGTTTCTGGGCAAAAGTGTGCAAAGGGACTTCATGTTTGTGCAGTACAAGGGTGCTTCCGCGGGCATCCAGCAGTTGAATGTCAGAAACAGGGATCGTGACAAACACCTCAGAGCTGTCAGACTCTCAGACGCGAGGAGGATTTTCCTTCTTCTGATGAAAGCATGTCTGAGGGCAGGCCAGAAGGATCAATGCATGATGACACTACGAAATTTGTTTCAGCTACACCCCAATCCAAATTTTCAGATATCAGTCAATCTCATGTGGATGTCAAAGCGGAGAAACCTTATGTTTTCTTGGAATTATGTGCCGGGAGTGCTTCACTTTCAGCGGCAGTGCGGAGCTTGGGTGTCGAAGTGATGGCCTTCGACCATGAATCGAACCGGCACCAGACAAAGTGCAAGGTCATATGCCTGGACCTGAGTTTGCCACATGCATACGATAGAATCATTGAACTGGTCAACACGTGTCGAATTCTGGGAGTCCACATGGGACCACCATGTGGCACATGCAGCAGGGCCAGAGGAATACCTATGGCCGACGGAACAGCAGGACCACAGCCTCTGAGATCAGCACAGCATTTGTTGGGGCTGCCTGGTCTCCGTCGACACGACAAAAGCAGGGTGGATGCAGCAAACACCCTGTATGAACGTCTTGGTTTGTTGGTAGAAGAGCTGGAACGCTTGAACACACCTTGGACAATTGAAAATCCCACGAATAGCTACTTGTGGGACCTTCCATATTTTGCTTTTGCAATGGCCCATGGAACCAAACATGACTGCCACGCCTGTGATTTCGGCAGCACAAGGAAGAAGCTGACCTCCTTCCTGTCGAATTGAGATGAATTCGCAGCTTTATCAAGGTTCTGTCACGACGCTGCACCACACGAACATGAGGAATGGGGATATGACAACACAAGTAAGTGCTTCAACACTGCAAAAGAAGCTGAGTATCCTGCCCTGATGTGTCAAAAGTACGCCCAAATACTTGAAGGTTTCCTCGACAGGCCTCTGTCGAACAGCACAACAGTTCGTATGTTACCACAGGCACAACCCAAGGGGCGCAAAATGCCCCAGCTCATCTCTGAATTCTTGGATGTGGTTACGACTTTGATGGACCATGAGCCAGTGGTGGATCACAAAAAGAATCTCGTGTATGCTCACGGGAACATCCCAGCAGGGAGTCGACTGTTGAGGACTGAAGCGGACAGGGGGCAATCTGGGCAAGTGCTATGCGTTTTTGGCATTTTCCGTACAATGGAGCAGTTTGTTCTGAACGCTCGTGTCCTGTGGCACCCCTTCGATGAGTTGCGGAACCTTCCGGACTTGATGATCAAATCTCTCTTTGTCAACCTCACTTCATCCCCTCATCAACTAGCAAAACAACGTTGTGAATTTTTGCGAAAGTGGTCGAACCGGGCAAAAGAGCTACAAACTGCAGAAGGCAAAGTGCACAGAGGTTTGACCACACATATTCAGCAAGTGTTGGCAGGAAAGAGAACTTTGCTCATGGAAGAGCTGGCCGCTGAGATGGGCTGGCCAGACAAAACTCTTTTCAGCGAGATGAGAGAGGGCTTCAAGCTTGTTGGGACCTTCGCAGCCACAGGTGTTTTCAAACCTGCCGTGACGCTGGCACAAATGAGTGAGGAAGAGTTGCGGAAGAACACCAAGTTTTTACGGCCTGCTATTTTGGGCAAGTTGAAGAACTTCGATGACGAGGTGCTGCAGAAAGAGCTGTACGACACAACCTTGAGCGAAGCAGTGGAAAAACACTGGTTGGAAGGACCATATGATGTGAGCGAAATGCACCACAAATTCGGAGAGCATTGGCTGCCTGTCAAACGCTTCGGCGTGGTGCAGAAAGGCAAGCTGCGCCCCATTGACAACTTCAAGGAGTCGATGCTGAACCTCACCTTTGGCTGCTATGAGAAAATCGAACTGAAAGCAATGGAACACAGTCTTTGGATGTTGGTGACGCTGGTCAGATGCATGAGGCACTTAGGCGAAGTGGAGTTTGTGCTGAGCGACGGTTCCGTTCTGAAGGGCTGCGTACACCCCACCTGGGGTAAGGTGGCTTTTGGACTTGAAACTACGTGTGTAGATATGAAATCAGCATACAAACAACTTCCTTTGAACCCTGCAGAGTATCATCGCACTGTTGTAAGTCTGTGGGATGTCGTGAAACACAAGCCTTCGTGTTTCATCATGCGAACTCTCCCTTTTGGAGCGTCGGCCAGTGTACACCATTTTCTCAGGATCAGCAGTTTCATCCATGCGGTAGGTTTACATGCAGGTTTGTGCTGGGGAGCATACTTTGACGATTTCCCCACAATTTGCAATGTGGCCAATCGACAGAGTACCTTGTCGATCACCCTTGGATTGTTTGAGTTGCTGGGTTTCAAATACAATGACGAGAAGCTGGAACCTTTCGACAGAGTGGCTGCGATGCTGGGTGTAGAGCTTGACTTGCGCGAGGCTCACAGAGGTATGATTAAGGTGCAGAACAAACCAACAAGAGTCGCAGAGATCACTGAATGTTTGCAACAGATACTTGACAACGGAGTCATCCAATCGGACTCTCTCCCCTCCAACCTTGGCAAGTTGCAGTTTGCAGAGGCGCAACTTTGGGGGCGCACTGGGAAGATAGCCGTCACCGACCTGCGTGAGGCCACTATTCACAGAGCAGGGACATTTTCGATCTCTGACCAAAGCCGCAAGGCTATCGAGATATTGCTAGAACGATTTTCTTCTGGTCGCCCTCGCGAGATAAGGTCATCAGTGCCTTGCAAACCGCACCTTCTTTTTGTTGATGGTGCACTCGAGTACGACAAGGATGGAAACCCTTGGGCGAGCATTGGAGGAGTCATGTTGACGCGAAATGGAGAAGCTTACTGCTTTGGATGTGACGTTCCCGAGCAACTTTTGAAGGCTTGGCAAACCGATGGAAGGACCCACGTCATCGGCCTGGTTGAACTATATGCTGCAGTCACTGGGCTGAACACTTGGAGGAACCTTCTTTGCAATGACCGAGTTTTGCTGTTTACTGATTCCTGGCCAGCCTACGATGCGTTGGTAAAGGGAACGGCGAGCGTCAAAGAATGGCGCGATCTCTTGCTTGATTTGGAAAAGATAGACGACAAGTTTCCCATGTTTCTGTGGACAGCCAGAGTTCCTTCAGCCTCCAACCCGGCCGACCCTCCGAGCCGAAGGAACATTTCCGACATAGCCTTTCTTGGAGACATCAAAGTGATCGATGCTAGATGTCCTGTGACAGACGTTGACTTGAAATCTTTTGAAATGGTGTAGCTGAAGCAGACGAGGGGGATAAAGTGATGTCAGTATTTAACCAATGAAAAGTTCACCAAAAGACAATGTGCAGTGCGGACACAATGGTGTCGTACACAAAGGTGACATGGTGCAGCGCATTCACAAAGTGATGTGCAACGAACGTTTTGAGATTTCCCCCTTGACTGCAGCGATCAAAAGTGAGAAACTTCAGTTTGCGGACATGTCAGTTGTTTTTGTTTTCCGAGAGGGTGAGAGGAGTGGTTTGTGTTTTGACGTTTTCTCGTTTGCTCTTTTGGCATGTATATGTATGTATGTATATATATATATACATGCACATGTGCGTTGCGGTCGCGATGATATGTTGTACCCGCGTATGTGTTTACAGGAGGGTTACCCTAAAGCTATAAGGTTGCGTTTAGCTTGCTAATAGCGGTTTATAGCTATGGGTAAAAGCGAACCATGTGAGCGCCCTCCTTTGCGTAAACTAAGATCTCTGGGTTTGATCTTGGTATATGTGGGTACGCGTATAAGCGGTGCAAAAAAAAAGAGAAACAAACAAACAGAAAGATTCATGTGTTCTTTCTGCACTGAGTGAATGCATGTTTGTTTCAAAAGTTTTCACATTTCAATTTTTCAACTGTTTCAAATGCCACATGTATCCGTCGTGCAAAATCAATCTATGGAACCTCGCCGCCTCAAAGTGTTTTGTGGTGGGTGGGCGGGTGTGCCCAATAATTTTCGTGTTTGCCCCACCCAAATCGCGACGATTTCTCCCACCCTGCAAACACGGAGGGGGGGATAAAGTGATGTCAGTATTTAACCAATGAAAAGTTCACCAAAAGACAACGTGCAGTGCGGACACAATGGTGTCGTACACAAAGGTGACATGGTGCAGCGCATTCACAAAGTGATGTGCAACGAACGTTTTGAGATTTCCCCCTTGACTGCAGCGATCAAAAGTGAGAAACTTCAGTTTGCGGACATGTCAGTTGTTTTTGTTTTCCGAGAGGGTGAGAGGAGTGGTTTGTGTTTTGACGTTTTCTCGTTTGCTCTTTTGGCATGTATATGTATGTATGTATATATATATACATGCACATGTGCGTTGCGGTCGCGATGATATGTTGTACCCGCGTATGTGTTTACAGGAGGGTTAATCTAAAGCTATAAGGGAAAGACCCAGTCAGACAAAGGCAAAGGCAAGTCAAAGATTTCGATGCCACAGGAAATGGTTTCAATGGGCTGTAGGCCGACTACAAATGCAGGACAACCCATTTGCTACAGCTTTTCACTGGGCCAGTGCAAGAATAAACCTGTGAAGGGCAGGTGCGAAAGGGGCTATCATGTATGTGCCATCCCCCAATGTGGAGGCCACCATGCAGCAAAGGACTGTCCAAAGAAGCAATCCCCATCTTGACTAGAGATGGATTCAGATAAAAGTGGCCCAAAGAGGGCTTTCGAAGTGGACACAGCGAAGGCTGTGAGCTGCAAAGTGCCCAAGCACCACACCGCTGAAAGTGGGAGTGATGCCCAAGCTAAGTTTCAAGCTGATGACAAGTCATCGTGTAGCAAAGTTCATGTCAAAGACAGTGCAAGTCCAGTGGAACACATCCAAGATGCAGTTCCTCCCAAAGTACAAGCAGCACTGCATGCTGGCACAGGCCTAGGTGAAACCTTGGTGACACTTGTGTTATGCGCGGGCTCAGCAATGCTATCAGCAATCCTCAAACGGGATGGTTTTGATCCTATCGCAGTGGCTTTTTCAGGAAACCGGCACAAGCCTCACATTCATGTTATTTCTTTGGATTTGCGACAAG